GACTGCGTTAACATCTGTGCTGTGACCACGTGCACGTGCACATGCACACATCACCCAGTTAACCACCTTCACCAGTTCAGTGACAGCCAGACTCACCTGCAGTTGAAACTAAAACCCAGTTTCAGCTGAAGATGATCAACAAAACTCTGTCCTTCAGAAATATGAAGGTTTTGGTTTGTTTTTAATCAAGTCTCGTTTTACAGTCACTGCGATGTAAAAGGTCATGCACTCTGTTCTGTTCTGTACCTGGCACCGCCATCACATGCTCTTTCTCCACCAGTCAAAGCCCCCGCTGATCAAATTCTTTTTTTTTTTTCTTTCTTTTTTTTTGGACTCAGTGAAGTGAACCATTATTATTTGATAAAATGATGAAGGGCGTTTCAAACTTCTTCTTTTTTTTCTTCGTCAGTGATTTGTCTGGAATGCTGGAGTTGTTTGCTCTGGCACAGTGTGGTATTTGAGCTGCAGCTCCATGTGCTCCAGCTGCTCGATGCCAACTGAACTCACAAATGGCCTTTGTTGTGCTGCTGGTAACCCGATCTGAAGACAGCATGACAAATATGAATTTTTAGGCCATCACCAGGTGGCTCTCAGCGCTGTGGAGCTCATTGTGTTGTTGTGGTCGTTTTTTGTTGTTTTTGTTTTTTTTGTGTGTGGAGCAGATTCATGTTCTGAAGAACAACAGGGATGAATTATTCACACGGTTTATTTATAAACCGCCGTTCAAAGAAAACACTGTTTTCTGGGCAGAAATTAAAATGATTTGAATTCAGTGTCATTTTTAGACAGATGAAAATTTAATTTAATTCAGTTGAATTAAATTAAATTTCAGGAGACTAATTTAATCTAAATGCATTATATTTTAACCCTATAACAACAGTCAAATCTAACCATAAACTTTTTTTAATCTCCCAGGATTTAATTTTATTTAGTCCTTGTTATTTTATAAAATTTGTATTTTACAAAAAATTTTGTGCAGTGTAAAGTTATGCCAAAACACAGTGTGGAGTACTGCTGCGGCGCCCCCTAAGGACAGAGAGATAATTGCATTTTCCTGAGCCTCCACTGATTCGTTCTTCATTTCCCTTTTCTGTTAATAACGGCCTGAACAACGGCGGCCGTTCGACGCAGCGCGGTGGATCAGATTGCATCTATTATACAGCACCTCTCTCTGAACCCGGCTCCGCTGCGTTCGGGTTCAGCTAGCGCAGGGAAAAGGCCCAGGAGACATCAAACATGGATGGAGGAGGCCCTGAAAGCATCGCGTGTTCAGAGCGTGAGCCGTGGATGTTCTGCCGCCGCTCCGACATTGCGTGATCGTGTCTCTGCTCTGAGTTATGTGTGATGTCAACCATAAAAGCCTTGCTGCAGCTCATGTTTGCGCATACATTATCTTTTATATATATATATATATTTTTTATTTATTTATTTTTTTACGGCGGGTGCAGAGAATCACAGCGACGTGGAACCATGTTGTGTTTCCTCCTCCGCCTTTCTCTCCATCTCTATTTTTACACTTCCCGATCATGTGCTTTCACTTCCACTTTTTTGCACCTTACATGCAAACCCTCTGTGTCGGCCGTCACTCACTTTCCCCCTCAGTTTTCCACGGTTTCCCTGCTCCTGTAAGTCGTTTGCTTGAGCTCCTCTCTCCCCCGCTCTGGTGGTGGGAAGTTTAACCTAGTTAGAGCACAGCTGTCTGATGAATAATGGAGGAGCTCCTCACAGCTACTATCAGCGTCTCCGTCAGCAGGATCCTACCTTTGATCTGCGCTCCTCTTCCCATCCCTCCTGACTTTCCTCGGAACTTCCCTGCCAACTTTCTCCTCTCCTCTCTTTCTACCCTCGCCGTGCTCTCGTCTCATCTGTTTAACTTTCCCCCTTTTGCGCCGCAGCGGAACAATAACGTTGCATTTTTTAATAATAATCGTCTCGTGATAATATGTGCTAATATTTGGGACTTTCTGGGGGAAGCGTCAAAAAAAGTTCAAAAACAGAAAGTTCAAAAAAAAAAAGGAATAGGAAACTGCGAACAACAGCCTGATCCTGGTCCGATTTTTTTGCGACCTTTGTGACCTCTGAGCCTCAGCTGCAGCGGGTCAGGCCGCTGCACCACAGGAAACATTAGGACATGTGTTGGCGGCTGATTTTGATGCTAACTAGGATCAATGTTCTTTGTTGCTGCCTCTGCCTGGGTGGTTAATGGCAGCTGTAAGTTATCCTGGAAGTCAAGGATCCAAAAACCCCCGCAGCAAAAAAAACGCCGTTCAAAATCAGCCTTTAATTCTCACAGAACCAGAACCAGAACCAGAAGGTCTTGAATTTGACTCCAGAACCAGAACCAGAACCAGAAAGTCTGAAATTAAAGAAGTTGAATTTGACTTGTTTTAATGTTTTACTTTCAGCAAAACATCTTTGTTTTCATATAAAAACACACGCCTCTGTAGTGTAAATATTAGGGCTGTGTATCGAGGAGAATCTGGCGATACGTATCACGATACAGAGGCCAATGATACAATGTATTGTGATATATTGCGATACTTTAGAGACAGCAATATATATTGAGTTTTTTACAACTATTTAATTGCAGTACAACTATCATCATAGCCAATATAAAAAAAATAAAATTGTTAATTATTTCACTGTGACCCGGCACCACACGACCTGTGGACCGGTACTGGTCCACGCACCAGAGGTTGTCTACACAGCTGAATGTTCTTCCTTCTCCTTGTTTCTTTTCAGTCCCTGCCAATCTGTAAACCCAGTCGACCAAATGAACCGAGCACTAATGTAGCGTCACCTCTGACCGGTAGGTGGAGCACGTGCTCAGATAGAGGAATAGAGAGAGAGGGAGGAGAGAGAGAGAGAGAGAGGCCGTGGAGTACAGAGCGGAGGTTACCACAGGACACTGCTCCTGTGCCGCGGCTGAACCTCGACCACAGCGGGGAGAAACAGCTCCACGAGCCGCCGCCACTTCAACCTTTGGATTCAAACCCTCCGCTTCCTGGACACACAGCGGCAACTTCAAAGTCTCCGCGGCCACATTTGACGCGTTTGTTTCATTCATTTCTTTTTTTCCTCCTGTTTCCCCCGTGAACCGGAGCAGTGACGAGGTCTTCACCGTGGGGTTTTTTTTTGTCTTCTTACTTTTTCCGCCTTCGGCTTCATCTCCATTTGTCGCCTGTGTCGCCTGCTGAGCTGCTGCTGCTGCTGCTGCTGCTGGGGGCGACATTAAAGACAGTGTCGGCGACACGCCGCGTTGGATTCAGCCCACAGCAATTAAGTCACATGTTAATTACGATATTCACTTTGAGCGGGCAGCAGTGAAGTACACGCCGCCACAGCACCGACACTCTCGGTTCACCGTCACGGACGAGGGGTGTTTTTGAGGCTTGAGCTGTGACACTGCGCGTGTTTGTTCCGCATATTTTGAATTAATGTTGTTGTTGTTTTGAATCGCTTCAAAGGTAGTGGAAGTCAAACCGCGGCGGCGGCGGTGAAGTTGTTGACACTTGTAGCTTTAGACCAATCAGAGAAATGACCGTGGAAATGTTGTGTTAAAGAAGAAGAAGAAGAAACTCTGAAAAAGGCTTCAGAGTAAAACTGTGTTGTTCCAGGGGCTGAAAGGTCAGCGGGATAGGTCAGCTGTTTGTTTCTCCTCCTCCTACTTTTCCTCCTCCTCCTCCTCCTCCTCCTCCTCCTCCTCCTTCACCCATCAGTCTGTTATGAAGATGTGAACTCCCTCCCTCCCTCCCTCTTTCCTTGGCTTTCTCTCTTCTCTGGCCACTTTGATTTTTACCCCGTCCTTCTCCTACCCCCGGTGGCTGCCAGAGGGATCAAAAACAACAACACCCCCCCCCTCGTCCTCGTCCCCCGTCCTCCCTCATCTGTTAGGGATGTACGAAAGCGTGGACGTTGTGGGTCTGAGCCCCAGCCCCGGCCGCAGCAGCAGCCCCAGCCCCGGCTCCTTCCTCAGCATGGACTACTACCACAGACCCCCGGGGCTCGGGGCGGACAAAGTTCTCCTGGCCGGGGTCGGAGGACTCCAGAGGACGTTTGGAGGCTCGCTGGTGTCCAGCAGACACTGGAGTGGATCCTGTCACTGTGAGTGTTAACACCAGTATTTGATGATGAAGATGATGATGATGAAGATGATGTTTAGTTTTATTCTGTAGCTGCAACTTTTCAGTTTTGTACCAAGTCACATGTGAAAACCTTCCAGTAACTTCTACAGAGCTGTAGCTGCGGCCAGTGTTTACGTATATGTCGACGATTACATCGAGTTTTAATCAAACTTTTTTTTTTTTAAACTGACTTCCTCAAGAACTCTGTTCTGCCCTCAAACCTTGTTTTTATCGCTGACGTTTTGTTTAGTTGTTTTTTAAACTTTTCAAGGATTTTGATTGGCTGTGGTTTGAGACAGAGTTGCTAGTTTAAATTCTCATGTTTTTTTTTTTTCCGTAAACAAACATCACGAACCCGTACAGGTCTGTGTTCGCCGTGTTACAGTTTCACATCCTTCGTAACGTATCCCAGAGTAACGTGTTACATTCGAGGGACTGTCTCGTGATTTAAGAAAACACAAAGGTTAAACACAGCAGAAGTGAACGCTCCACTTCCTGTGTAACCATGGCGCCGAGCGCATGCTGATCTGTCAGGCTGCGCCTGATACTGTGACTAATCCTCCGTGGAACACAGAAATACACAACCAACCGTTTTTACTGGACTCCAACTCCTCCGTCGTCCAGTCAGTTGATGACATCATTAAGAGAATGATTTAATTACCATCAAGTCATTGGTCCGAGGATTAGCCGCGGCCGTAATCCGTCGTGATGAATGTGTTCGTTGCTGCACGCTGGGAATTGTGCCAGTGTCATTCCCTCTCGTCTGGTATCGGATTTCCCAAAATCCTCTGCGACAATCCTCCATAGATGCAACATGAAGCCGGCGCTGCTGAAGAGAAACACGTTGGTTCAACCTCCGGGTTGTTGGTTTTTTTTTTTTTTCTGCTCTGTTCGTTAGAACGGCGTTCGTTATCCACGGAATTGACGTTGTTGAAACAGAGATTCTGTTGAAGCGTTTTATCAGGTGATGATTCAGAGTCTGAGAGAGAATTCAACAGAAGTCACCGGAATATTAATGTTCACTTCCTCAGTGTGGAAGGAAAACGACATGAACTGTGTTGGTTATTCCAGTGTGGAAGGAAAACGACGTGAACTCTGTTGGTTATTCACTCTGAACTGACCACCGGTGTGAATGTCAGTGTGAATGAGAGTGTGAATGAGAGTGTGAATGAGAGTGTGAATGTCAGTGTGAATGATCCACAGATAAACCAGATTATTGTCAACATTAAACTGAGACCAAATTAACCAAATATAATACATGGTCCCTGAACGCCCCTTGTTACAGACACTCCACCTAGTGGCCACCCAATAAAAAAATGTATTTATTTTTTTAAGGGCTGTTGAGTCTGTGATGCAGGCCTGGAAAATTATTGATATTAGTGATTAATTGATTAAATGATTATCGTCCCAGTCCTATGAACATTCTCATATATTTATATTTTTGGTGATTTTATCGACTGTGATTAAAATCACCTCATCTTTAAACCAAAGTCACTGATCGACTCGACTCGTTCAACATAGAAATATAGAGGCATAGAATTCCAGGAAGAGCGAGGGCTCCACGTGAGCCCCCGGTGGTCAGAGTGGAAGCTAACAGTAATAACGTGTCAATGTCACTGTAACACGGTCGTTGCACAACCAGAGTGAGGTCATAAAGAGAGAGAGAGAGAGAGAGAGGGAGAGTGAAGTGTGCTCTGGTCAGTGATGAAGAAACACAGAGAGAGAGAGAAGCTGTGTGTGTGTGTGTGTGTGTGTGTGCTCACACTGTGGTGCAAGACTGGAATGAAAGTGTTCACCAGTTCAAAGGTCAGATGTGTACAGGCACACACACACACACACTGCTCCACCAGCATGTACGCTTCAATATAATGTATGTATATATGTGTGTGTGTGTGTGTGTGTGTGCGTGTGTGTGCGTGCAGCAGGGTTTGATCCACAGCAGTGACTCACTGACCATCAGGAAGTGACCTCCCCGTCTCCCCCTTTTTATTCCTCCTCCCCCCTCCTCCTCTGCCCACTCATCACTGCCCTGCACTGAATGACCTTTCCTCTGTCCCACGGACACACACACACACACACACACACACACACACACACAGAGTGACGCACTAACCCATTCACTCACAGTTTGTCTGGGAATGTGAGACTCTACTGACCAAGTTAGACCTGAGTGTGAGTGTGTGAAAGGAGGAGGAGGGGGGAGGAGGGGTGAGGAGGGGGAGGGTGGCGTGTCAGTGTTTGTACGTGACACACAGGTGGAGAAATTTTTTCATATCAGAGTCCGTTACAGATTTTTATTTCATGACTGCTGTTGATTTAACGCAGCTGGACATGGGTGGAGAAATTTTTTCATATCAGAGTCTGTTACAGATTTTTATTTCATGTCTCTGAACGACTGCTGTTGATTTAACGCAGCTAACCACAGTGAGGTCTTTGACAGACGACCGACCGACTGACTGACCGACCGACTGACCGACCGACTGACCAACTGACAGACCGATTGACTGACCGACCAACTGACAGACCGACTGACTGACTGACTGACTGACTGACTGACCAACCGCTGTAAACAACCTCCACTTGGCGGCCGCTGCGTTACATCCAAAGTCTTACACAGAGTAGCCAAAATATTTTTTAAGTACCGGTGATATGACCGACGGTAAATACAGCAGCGCTAACCCTGCTAAGCTAAGTCCAGCGTAGCGACTAAGCTAACAGTTTGTGTGATGAACTGAGCTGTTGAATATTCTCATCAATTTGATGAAATTATTATTTTAAATGGTAAAATGCTAATGTGCATTTGATTCCACCATGTGCCACTAGAGGGAGCCCAAGTTACACAAGTATGTAATATTCTGAGTTAGAAGATCCTAATGGAAAACCAGTGGTTTCCAAACTATGGTACAGGTATCCCTGGTTGTACTTGGGCTCCCTCTAGTGACGGATGGGGGAAATTGGTTTCAGTTAGGAGTTGGTGTATTTTTTTGTTAATAATTAGTCCAACATACAATCAATTAATAAATTAATCAGTGGTAGATAGAGTCAGAGAGACGTGTGTTTTCTGAAGTATTATGGGCTGTAAAATTACACAAGCACAGGATTAAACCAAATTGGTTTGAACAGTTTTTAAACCAATCACTGGCCTGGGTTTTATCAGTTGTTCCTTCAAGATAAGAATCCACAAAGTTCAAAGATTCTGCTGAAATTCATCACCATGACATCAAACCTTCTGCCGTCGTCAGAGTCGACCTTTATTCTCGTTGGTCTCAATCAGCTCGTGTCATAAAATCCACCACAGCAGGTGCAGGCGTCGTAAAAGTAATAGGTGAAGTGTGAAGAGGAGGAGAGAATCACAAATGTCAGACCACCGCAGACTGACACAGACCGCCGCAGACTGACACAGACTGCCACAGACTGCTACAGACCGCCGCAGACCAACACAGACTGACACAGACCGCTGCGTCTGTGTTAGAGCTGTAGTTTGATCAAATTCACTGTTTCCTGTGAATCATCCTAAAAACTCTGCCCTTTTATTTCAAGTGCGTCTGTTGCTTCTAGTTGAAATTGATTTCCTGTGAAAATCAGTACCACAAGGTGGCAGTAGTGCAACTTAGTGTCTGATAGCCGCTTTTAGAATCAGAAGAACGTGCAGGGCTGCGGACAGAAAAGTCTGTCAAAATATAAATATTTCTGTTTTATTCAGAAGGCATAAACAATTTTTTAATTCAGTTTGATTAAAACCAGACTTTTAAAATACAAGCAGTAGAGGAAAAATTAAAAGGAATGAAACAAAACAAAATTTATTTTTTTAATTTAGATTTTGTTTTAACTGATTCTTAATTCTGTCATTTTTTGTTGCTCTGAGCAAAAAAAGCCTTTTGTTTTAACTGATTCTTAATTCTGTTGTAAAAATAAAGAAACAATTTTTGTTGCTCTGAGCAAAAAAAGCTGCAGCCGTGAACACAGATCTGTGTCACTGTTTGAGCTGTGTAATGGGGGGGGGGCGTTCACACTCGTCCCTGTGTGACCTCTGACTCTGACCTTAGTCACTGCTTCACCCTCCAGTGGTTTTAGGCCTGAACTCTGTCGCTGTTGGAGCTGATTTTTATACAAATGAATTCTGAATATTTAAATTGACTTTCTTTTTGACTCTTTTACAAAAAAAAAAACTTGAACTTTGTTCATCCCATATTTGGGAAATTCTTGTGTTAACAGCACATCTGCTGCATCAGGCTGCCCCCTGCAGGCGTCAAGCTAGTTCAACACGGGGCAACAGAACAATTGATTGTTGTTGTTGAATAATAACAGCCCCAGTATTGATTTAGGACAGCACTAGCTCACTGTCCGATCTGAAAAACGACAAAAAGATTTGTTTCAATTTAAATTTAAAATTATCAAACACCAAACTCCAGAAGCTGATTTTTTTTTTTTCTTTCCTGCGGAGAATCTCGACTCTGAAGCCGTTAACGTCGTACACCTTCACTAAACGACTCGTGTTCTTAATTGGACGACGTTACTGACGGCTACGCACATTTGACGGTGAAATATTGTTAATTATCAGAGTGCTGCCGCTGCTAAATATAGTCCCCCGCGTGTCACATGGTGTATTAAATGTCAACACAGTCATTTGAATAAAATTTATATCCATTGTCTGCATGTTTGGAAGCCCAGCGTACAATTCAGCGCTGCCATCTGGGGGAGGCCATAAAACATCTCCCCCGCTCTTTTATCACCTGCAGATGTCTTGGTCGTGACAGAAGAATGTTCTGACCTTGAATCTCGTCTCTTGGACGCTCGCCAGTTTCCTAATAACCATAAAAACGTCCTGGAAATTTGTTAAACACTTAACACTTCCTGTTGCAAAAAGGATCGAGCGCCGTGAAGAGGAGTTTATTGGCTGAGGAAATATGAAAAGCACCTCTGAAGAAGGTGAATATTACAGGTGTTACGGTAATCCACGGCCTGTCGTTGGTGTTTGTCTGTATTTTAATTAAGCCAGTCCTGGTGACTGTCAGAGGGGGGCGGGCCTTAAGACCCTCATCAGTTCCAGGTTCCATCAAACATTCACACCTTCATTCACGCCTGTGATTAGTTACGAGTAAATGACTGATTTCCTGGAGAAAATACCCGGTCGACTTCCTGCTGTAAGGCAGGAGCACCAACCACCCTTCCATCGCGTTGCCCTCAAGTTTAAAATTTCAAACATGGCCGTAGCTTCAATGACCTCCTCCTCCTCTAGAGGTCCTCACTGACTCCCGTTCTTCCTGTTGCTACTGTATTGTGCAAGAACTCTGGATGATGTGCTCCCCCTAGTGAGAAAAGCAGTAACTGCACCATGAAGGCATTTTTTGTTTTTTATGTTGGCGGTTGATCGTAGAGGTTTTCAACCTGTCGGTTCTCCTGACATGGTTCCACAGTCCTTCCAGATGTGAAGACGGTGACCTGGACGACCTGTGGTGACACCAAGACCTTCAGATTATCTTTATCCCATATATGTCATCACTCTGTCACCTGATTATAATCCGATCAAATTCAAACATTTACACCCTGTTCCTCCTTCCTCCTGCAGCTATAGAGACCGAGAGCACAAGTTCAGGGGAGGACCTGCTGGTGCCCAGCCCCCCCTCACCCCCGCCTCCACCCCGGGTCTACAAGCCCTGCTTTGTGTGTCAGGACAAATCGTCAGGATACCACTACGGAGTCAGCGCGTGTGAAGGCTGTAAGGTAGGCCGTCCGACATACAACATGTATGAGCTGAATGAACCGCGGGGTTAAAGGGGAGGCTCGAGGGGCAGAAATGGACCAGAAGACCGGGGACAGAAATATCAACAGTATATGTTTATATGTACGTTTTTTTTTTTTGTCGTCGTCTGACAGGGCTTCTTCAGGAGGAGCATCCAGAAGAACATGGTGTACACCTGCCACCGGGACAAAGTCTGCGTCATCAACAAAGTGACCAGGAACCGATGTCAGTCGTGTCGGCTGCAGAAGTGTTTTGATGTTGGAATGTCCAAAGAGTGTGAGTGAAGAGGAGCTCGGTTCACACTGAGCCGTGATCTTCCAACACCAAATGGTGTCTGTGCTGCAGCTCATCTTCAAATTCTGATATCTGTCTCCACCTGGTGGCTGTGGGTGGTAGTACATGCCCTCTTTAAACACATTAGGCATTAGTTTTTTTTAGATGTAATTTTAATGTAATGTATGTAATTAAATGTGATGGATGTAATTAAATAAAGGAAACTACTTTTTTTATATATATATTTTTATATATTTATTTATATTTTTGTTTTTTTACCACCCTCTCCCTGTTCTGGTAAACAGGAGCAGTCTGTGACTGCCGGGTATTGAGCAAGCACCAAATTTCCCCTGGCTCCGGGTCAAATTACCCAAAGTGCAGCCCACTTTTTGGTGTTTGGTCAACACACCACAGCCCAGTCCACCCTCAGAAACCATACACTAAAATTCAAACTGACAATTCCATGATCACAGGCCCAAACATTGTTTGCTTTAAACTTGCAGCTTTTCCTGGAACACGATAAATACAAATTCATGCAGTCACAAAAAAAAAAAGAAACATCTGTCCTGTCTGAGACGTTAAGTTTTCATGTTGGGTCTAAACCGAGTTCTGTGTCGTCCCGTTCTTCTTCAGTGGTACGGAACGACCGAACAAAGAAGAAGAAGGAGGAGAAACGGCAGGTGGAGGTGGAGACCTACGTCCTGTCGGCTGACACCGAGCTGATGATTGATCAGGTTCGACGAGCGCATCAGGACACGTTTCCCTCCCTGTGTCAGCTGGGAAAATACACCACGGTAAAAAACACAAATACTACTCTGGATGATGGATGGATGTTGGTCGTGTTACGGCCTCGCTCCAACCTTCATCTCCACCCTGATTCCACAGAGCAACAGCTCAGAGCACCGTGTCTCCCTGGACGTCAGTCTGTGGGACAAGTTCAGTGAACTCTCCACCAAGTGCATCATAAAGACGGTGGAGTTCGCCAAGCAGCTCCCGGGCTTCACCACGCTCAGCATCGCCGACCAGATCACGCTGCTGAAGGCCGCCTGTCTGGACATCCTGGTGAGTTGGACGTCAGACACCGACACCGTCCGACTGTACAGTGAGTGAAGACCAACGTGTGCTCCTCAGGTTCTGAGGATCTGCACTCGCTACACGCCGGACAAGGACACGATGACCTTCTCTGACGGTTTGACCCTGAACCGCACCCAGATGCACAACGCTGGGTTTGGACCTCTGACGGACCTGGTGTTCTCCTTCGCCAACCAGCTGCTTCCCCTCGAGATGGACGATGCAGAGACAGGACTGCTCAGCGCCATCTGCCTGCTGTGTGGAGGTACTGCGTCCGTTTTTTTTGTTGTTTTTTTTCCAGCATCTTGATGCCACGTGTGTGTGCGACAAACATCCTGAGTGTGTTTATTTTGTCTGCAGATCGACAGGATCTGGAGGAACCAGAGAAGGTGGATGTTCTTCAGGAACCAATGCTGGAAGCTCTGAAGGTCTGACCTCCAGTTATTTTTACTATCAATGATAAACAACTATGGTTTCACACACCAGTATATAGGACAGGGGGGGGGGTGAGCCGACCCCCCCCCCCCCACCCCCCCCCCCCACACCTCTGCAGTAAATGCTTCTGGTCTCCAGGCAACGACTGATAGAATGGATTTATTTTCACAACTTTTTAAAAAGGCAACTTAATGCAGGCCTCTACTGTGACTCTTTGGCGCCCCCCAGAGGAGGCGCGCCTCACCTCTTGAAAACCGCTGATATAGGAGAACATGTCCAGTGTGTATATTTGACAGTACTGTATTAAAATGAAATGATTTTGTGTGTGTAGATTTATGTGAGGAGGAGGAGACCGGACAAACCCTGCATGTTCCCCAAAATACTGATGAAGATCACGGATCTACGCAGCATAAGTGTGAAGGGTGAGACACACACACACAGACACACAGGTTTGGTTGGTTGAGTTGTTGCTTCATTAACTGATGTTTTTTTTTTTTACAGGAGCAGAGCGAGTGGTGACACTGAAGATGGAGATCCCTGGATCCATGCCTCCGCTCATCCAGGAGATGCTGGAGAACTCCGAGGGTCTGGACAGTCATGGTACTGCAGGAGAAAAGGGGGGAGTCAAATGTAGAGGGGAGGTCAGGGAGGAGGAGGACAAAGACGTCAGGAGCCGTCGTAAAAGTCCATCACGGAGAGCCAGCCCCTTCCTGAGGCCGTCACCTTCGCCCCGCTCCCCCTCCTCCCCCTCCTCACCTCCCTGCACCTGAGGAGCCGCGCGCTGGGCACATTTTCTCCACACAACATTAAATGATCAGCAGGAGGACAGACGTCAGGATTCAACAGCCACAAACTACAGTCAGAACTGTGAGGTCACACAGCCAATGAACTGTGAACGACTGCTTTGAATCCAGATTTAAAAACAGACAAAAAAAAAGTGGATTTTCCTTTTCTTTTTTAAAAATTCTTTTTTATACCGTCTTAAAATGTAAATTATTTGCAGAAACTTAACGAAGGCTCACGTCTGTGCTCTGAGGGACTTCTGTTATTTTATACACTCCCGTTCTCATAGAACAACATATATATATATATGTATACATATATATACATATATATGTACATGGTAATACATTTCCTGCAGGATGGACAAAAGCAGGTTTTTTGTGAGAGTTTTCTGGTTAAACTAAAAAAGATATTTGATCAAAAAAAAGAAATCTGCAGAGTTTTATGTCTGTGTTTTTCATCCTCCGTTCTCTCTGTCCAGACCTTGAGCTTCATCTACATGTCATTTGCGTCGTCACACAGGAATACTTGGATATGCAAACCTACCATCAGCTCACAAATGTTTGTCTGTTTTTGATCTGCAACTCACTTTACCTCATGTGCAATAAATAGGTTGAACTCTGACAGAGCAGCCGGCGAATCAGAGCGGCCGCTGAGGCTCATCACGTCATCAAGTGTTTTCACTTTACCTGCTGTTGTTGACACTGTGACTGTATGATTAAATACACACTTCTTTGGTCAGTTTGATTAGTGTGTGTTTGGTGTCAGAGAAACTCCTCCTAAACCAACACCATTCAGTAGCAGTGGGTTTAAAACATGCAGTGTGTTTTTGTTTATGACAGTAGAAGGGATCAGTACTTCAAATACTAGTACTTGACAACTCAAATAACAACCGTAGGTTGGTTAACATTTACAGGAACGTCCATCTATATCAACATCGCTATAAAAACTGCATTGATACAAAAAGAAAAGTCACAAAAGTAAAAGGTCACAATTAAAGAAAGAAGAAGTTCAAATATTAGAAGTGGAGTTTTTCATCATGTGTCACTTCCACCACAGCAGTTTTGGTTCACGGACACAAATGAATGGTTGACACAGAGTGTGCTGTGTCACAGTGATCTCATTTACATCCACAATGTGTCTAAGTTTGCAGATGAAAGGGGAACATGTGGCCCCGATGTTTTTAAACAACATTTTTAGAGTGCAGAACTGCAAATGCTGTGCTGAGAAATGCCCTCCCCTGGATTCCTGCTCGAGGAGTTTCTTCACAGCTAAAGTGAGAAGATCTGCCTCCAGCTGCAGCACACGCTGTTTACACCAGGGCGGCTCACCTGCTGTGGTCAAGATGTTCCCGCCTGGAGTCTTCACCGGTGAGTCAGCAGTCTGGGATTTATCTGAACATTTATTTGATCAATACATATATACATATACATATTTTTTATATATATATATTTTTTAAATGCAGCAATTTTTGTCAAAAACTTTTGGACCAAATTCACAATAGTGAGTACTACTAGGACTAATATTTATACTAGCTATGCTACAATAGTTATATAACATAGTAATATATTCTTCTTTGTATGTTAAATATGAGGAATATATTATATACTCTCTATATATGTATTTATATACATATATATGTAGAGTATGTTAGTTTCCTCTTTTTTCTATTAAGAAGCCAAATTTGTATAATTACACACATGATATTATTGATAATAATAACAAAATAAATATTTTAATTAAATTCTGCAGCAGACTGAACTGAGAAATACAAAGTGGGAAGTAAAACTTCAGAGCAAAAGATATAAAAATAAACCAAAAACTTCTTATATTTTTATCTTTGTTCTTCTTCCTATCATAAATCATATCATATGTTTCAACATAATTAAAACAGCTGAGTACTGCCACCTGATTCTCTATCATGTTAGTCGTATCTACAGATGTACATCTATATATATATAAAACATCATAATATTATATCACTGTTAAGACCGTCATAAACATTAAATGTGTTAAAATACGCCGAGCCATAATGTCCAGTAAAATAACTTCACGTTTGCACCTAAAAAAAAAAAATCCACGTAGAAATCTGTTTAGTATTCACCGAGATGTGGTTTATTTAATGCTATGATGCTTAATTGCAACCGCCAAACCGATTACACTGAGTGGAGCGGTCGACCGGACCAAGATGGCCGCCCCGCGGCTCGTTAGCGCTAATAGACCGGAGCGGTCGATGTCTGTGGAACCAACTACAAGCTATTAGCCAACTTAGCTAACGTACGGTGAGCTACGCGCTCATTCCTGGACATGTGTTGTTGTCGTGAGTTTCATGACGGAGACTTTTAATTCTCTAAGACTCTGGGATTTTAACAGATGTTTAGCCAATGGGATTAAAGGTGATAAATTTAACACGGAAATAAATAAATAAAACAAACAAGGAGACCTAACT